ATCTACATATTAGCCACAGGCTATACTCAAGAATTTTTGTATTTATTTGTGATTATATATAGTGGAAATGCATTGTCCTAAACCCAAACTATTTCGAAATTTCATGATTTATCAATAACATATATAATGATAATTTTAAAAATATGGAAATAAGTTAAAAGTGAGTATATAAGACTAGTATGAAGAACTCCAAATGTTGCAAGTGTTGATTATTGTTTATAAATATTAATGCATCCTTTAGGTACTCCATAAACATCATTATGCCATGATCTTTTAGGCTAGACTTTGCCTATACACAAGACAAGTTGTATTTAGGTCCCTATATTCTTCCTCCAATGAACGATTGTTACTTTATATTATTTATACTAGATTACATAATTTCTCCTAGGGTTATTTACGTTCAGAGGTAGTTTTTCATGGGTTATTTACGTTCAGAGGTACTTTGTTGCCATGGTATACTTTTTGCACTGTTTGGTCGAAAATCTGACCATTTTACCTCTGTTTTCAACACTCCCTCGTAAATCTCTTTAACTGAGATTCAAACACATTCAGTTTCCATCTCTAATCTTCACCGTTGGCTTATAAAAATTGGTTAAAGATTAACGGTTCTTATTTATCCACTTAAGATTGTACTTTTACACAGAATCTTACTGCTGCCATAAATTCCGTAACTGGTGCCATAAATTCTCGTGTGGCAACATTTCTGTAACAGGTGCCATAAATTCTTCAACTTCTTTATCCGAGTATAATGATACTGCTGTGTCGTATATATCAACACTCCACATACTCAGCTGAATGACAAGACCCACTCAATGCCTACTCTCCCAACACATAGGCAAATACACTGTATGTACAGAATCAAACCATTCCTTCCCAGGTTCCATAAGAAACCCTTTGATCCTATCTCCCCATTTCACTCTCTGCGTAAGTTTTGCTTTGCAAAATGCAAAATACTTGCCTTGAAGGTAATTTGAAAACCACGGAGATGCAAACACAGCCCCTTCCCCTTCAATGGCAGCATCATGCCTCGTCTTTAGTAAAAACATCAGTGCATCCATGTGCTACAGACAGAGATTACGACTTCATATAAACATTTGGAAGAACTATATATTTGTCATACAAAAAGTCAAGGCTTCAGAAATCCACCGTTGTAGACACCCAAATTGTTGGTTTACCAAGGTCAAGAAAAAATATACTGTCAATAATAAACCCCTCTTCGGTTACATGTTTCCTGAAACATGTTTAGTTCTATGGTTAACACGATTTAAAACGGAAGACATCAATATGCAACACAAATGAGGCAAAAAAAACTCACATTTCCGGCCATTTCTTAAGTGTTCTTTCAAAAAACAAATACTCACTCGAATCAACCAAGGGCATGAGGTCTTTCTGCATACATTTTGGCCTACTAGAAAAGTGTTTAGCAAGAGATATTTCCAACTGAGATGGCTTAGGCTTCGGTGTTTCTTTCGTCTCAGAACTGTCGCTCACGTCAACTGTCTCTTCGTTCGTCGCGATCTCCTCAGATGTACCTAATTCCTCTTTTCACCAACGCTTATTTCATTACTACCAAGATGCTCTTCTATAACATTTTTTACAGTATCATCAACTTCACGCATTAAAGCCTCCAACTCACCAGCTTCTGCCTCACTCTCCTAAAAATATTCCAACACAATTAGAGTCAACCAATAAGTTACCCCAACCACAAAAATCACAAAAAATCTACCCATCTTCAGTAATAGATCAGTGTTTCCTTCTATCTCTGCAATATCCATCACATCCTGTCCATTAACTTCAAGTTAACAAAACCGAAATGAATCATCTAAACAAACTTTCAAACCAACTGCGGAAACCTACCTCCTTTCTTGTATCATCACCATTTTTTCTGTTACAGAACATAAAACCTCCCCAAATTGAGCACAAGTAGATGGTGGTTCTGGCCCATCCATAATGTCTTATCCATAATGTTAACACTACACCTAATCAACATACTAATCCGGAAAAACAAATGCATTGACAACAACATATCTTAATAATAACATAATAACATACGAACTTATCTTCATCACCAACCTCCTGTTGTCTGCAAGGCATAACCCACTTTATACTTTAACACCAATTCCGCCTGCATGTACATTAATTACCGATCATATATAAACACCTATCCAAAAAACACTGTCGTTAGAAAATACGCTATAAGTTCACATCCTATGTATTCTTTGCCTTAAAATCAATATTAATTGTTTGAGGACATTTACATACACCAAAACATGTGTTAATACTAACTTACCATGTTTTCTTCATCACCACCCTCTACCTCTGTTCCATTCAATACCAAATTCTCGGATTCTGGTTCTTGCGTATCCATTATATCTTGTCCATAATTTACAGTTTACACTTTTTTCTCACAAACTGAAATTATTACAATCCTTTAAAATAACACAACTATTACACAGCCACAGCTTTACCTTCGCCATTTCAGAATTTTGGGCAACAAAACCATGACCAGGACTAACACCCACCTAAAAAATAAAGGAGATTTAATTTTTACATGCCTATCAATTATTACAACTGTTGATACTATAACTTATACAATTAATGAGACTATATATCTTACCTTGTCACTAACATTTGGAGCTACTTCTATCGCACCATCAGCCTTTCTCGGAGTCCCATCCTGCAAATTAGTCAACTATAAGTAGTTATCAGAAAAGGTTGCCAAATGAAATGAAACTTAAATAAAACAGAGACTAAACTAAAACATAGACTACTCACTGTTTTTTTTTATTCACTAAATTCCTGGCTCAACAAACATTCTTCCCTCAGACTACTACCTTCCCTCACAAGGACTGACTTCCTCCTTCTATTACTACGTATTGTTCTTTGTGAAAAGCTACCAAAAGATTTCCTACCAACACTTTCCCTCTTCTTAAGCCGTTTTATCTCTGCATCATGTTGATAAATCTTCTCAGTCAGAGTTGATTTCAACTCCTCCAGCTGTGATTTCATCCACTCTTTGAGATGCGTGCTAGTACGTGTAGCAGGAGGAAAATAGCTCTCCAACTTTCTCTGCTTCCTTTTAGAACCAATTTGCTTCTTTTTCTTACATTTTCTCTTCAAATTAACCACCTTTTCATCCACAAAATCCCCCACTTGTTCATTAATTAAACCCTTCCTATTAATCACATGTTTCTCATGCTCAACCATATCCACCTTCTCCTCCACTTCAACCAAATCTAAACCAGCAAAACCACCTGGCCATTCACACTTCTCAAACAAATGTCCTCCTTCGATCAGCTCCTGCATGTACAATACTTTTCGGCCTCTGTCTTCATCATCAAACTCCACCCAACAATTGTTGTTACTTCCAGCATTCCCAAGTGTAATGACCCTGCCTAGAGATCAAAACAGTTACGGGAACTGATCGAGCCAAAACCTAGTTGACGGAAGAAAAAAAAAACGGTCAAGCATTATGGAATTTTAAGCACAAAGTGGCCCAAAGCACAACGTGGCGCCACGACACAGCTGCTCGGGATTGACGTGCTTGGGATCAACGAAGCACGATAAATCCCGTAAGCACGAGGTGTAGCGATCTTGTGTGACGAGTCATTGGAAGCACGACAAATTCACAAGCACGACAAATCCGCAAGCATGACAAATCCGCAAGCACGACAAATTAGAAGCACGATAAATCTCGTAAGCACGAGGTGTCGTGATCTTGTGTGACGAGTCATCAGAAGCACGACAAATCTACAAGCACGACAAATCCGCAAGCATGTGGTGTCGCAACCGTACGCGACGAGTCATCAACAAGCACGACAAATCCCGGAAGCTGCTGGACGAAAATTTCCCTATAAATATGACCTAAGTAGCTCCCATTTTATGCATAAAAACCGTTCCAAACCTCTGACAAAATCAGTCTAGAAAATTCGAATCTTTGTCCGTGATCGTGATCCAGCTAGGCCGTTGTCTTGAGCCATCGAGTAGGAGCAGGAATAGCCAAAAGTCTAGCCTAAGTTCTGTCCGTTTTCGTGAAAGAAGTAGTCCGTAGAACCAAAGAACCAGATCTGATCTAGAGCCTAAGTCCGAATCTAAGCCTTAACCGTTCAGAATAAGGTGCGTCTTGGTGATGTTTGTCGTGTGCTAGATGAGTAGGGCACACGTTGCTTGTTTATTGTTATGCGTTATATTCGTAGAGGTTCGTGCTAGAACTCTAGAAA